AGGAGGAGGGGGAAGGGGTTTTCCCAGGAGTTTGGGAGTCTCAGGGGCAAGATGAGGAGGGGCATTTTAGGAGTGGGAACAGCATGTGCGGAGACACAGGGCAGAATGTATAAAGAGTTTAGTGAATGGAGTGGAGGTGTTGGGGGTGTTGAGAGTGGACCTTCAGAAGGCAGGCAGGACCTGGTGATGAAAGGCCTGGCATATCTGGCCGGGGTGGCTGTACCCTGTGGATGGTGAGGGCTGTTGAAGATGGAGGGCGGAGGATGGAGAGAGGAAGCGGGCCGAGAGCTTGGATATGCCTGGCCTTGCCCAGGGGCGTAGCTGCTGGACCCCAGCACTCAGCAGACCTGCAAGGAAGCAGCCAACCTCTTCACCTGGCGGCTCTGAGGCCAGCCTCGGAGCGGTTAAGTGGCTGCCACAGGCTGACTGGGCCATTAGGACTGGGCCATCTTTCTGAGCAGTGGGTGTGTCTGGCTGCAGGGGTGCGATGGAAGGACACACTTCCTCTCTATCTCTGCTTCAGAACCACAGCCCTTCTGTCCTCCCTGGGACCCAGCCCCATCCTATGGCTCCCTTGTCCCTGCCTCCCCCATGGCCGGGGGTAGTCTGAGGCTAAAGGGGTCACGTGTCCAGAACTTACTATCCTGCCTGCCTCTCAGCCAAACCCCACTTCTCGACAAAGTTCACCCATCTCCCGGATCCACGTGGCCTTTGATTCCCTACACCTATTTTTGAGGGGCTCAGATTCCCTCCTACTGAGGACCCAGCCTGCCCCCACTTGCCTGTGCCCAGGGAGGGCACAGAGCCTCTTCCTCTTGGCAACGCATTGATTTTCTTCCATGGTGGTTGGTCACTGCTGCTCTGGGTAATGACTTTTAATGAATTGTTATTTGCTGAATATGGACCCAAAGGGCTTTTTACCAACAAGGGCCCCATCCTGAAACCTCGATAAATCATCTGCTATTCAAAGCAGGCCTGCTGGAGGGTCAGGGAGGGGTCTCTTCTCGTGGAGTCCTTGTCATGGAAGGGGTCCCTTTCTCTCAGTCAACCTGATGGCCACCTTTTAGGCTTCCCAGTTGGGCCATCTACCTACAGGAAACCCTTCCTGCTAGGAAGTGGGAGGGGCTTCACTCAGTGTCTGGAGTGCCGCTCACCTGTGTCTGGGTTTCCCAAGGTACTGTCCACCCGTGTGCCTGAACCCCAGGAGGTCTCTTTAAAATGCTGACTTGTGGCCCCACCCTGGCCTCCAATGACCCCGAATCCACATTTTTTACAATCCCTGGAGGAGATTCTTAAGAACATCCAAATTAGAAAATAGCCACTCTGAAACCAAATATCCTTAGCACCGCCCCCCCATTTTTTTTTTGGTCCTTTTTAAGGTATATGAGGCGGGTGCGTGTGGACGTCCCTGCGTCCTGGCCAGCATAGTCCGTCCAGCACCACACACACCTCCGCACAGAGCCCCACTGGGCGGGAGCCTCAGGGAGTAGGTCCGCATCCAAGTCAGCTGGGGATTTTCCTCAGATCCTTCCAAAAGCATGACTCGCACATCTGGATGAGGGCCGAGGTGGAATAAGGGCCCCTTGGTGAATGTCATCAAATAGCGTCGGGGGTGGGGTCCCGGCTTCCAGCTGCTGCTGAGAAGATCAGGGAGATGGTCAGACAAAGCGAGAGGGCCTCGAAGAGACTGTGGGCTTTTCAGGGTCCCCAGAGAAATGGTGAGGAGAAGGCCCCTGAGACAGATGTCAGGGCGGGCTGGGGCTGGGGCCTGGGAGCACTGCACTCTGGGGTGCCTGGGCCTATGTTTCTGCTCGATTTGGTTCCATGGCCACCTGTGCCAGTACCCTGACCCCAGCCAGCCAGAGCCCCGCCCCCGGGTCCATGCCATCCCGGCTCCCTCTGAGAGACCAAGGGCTTCTCACCTTAGGTGACTTGGCCTGGCCAGGTCCGTCCTGTGGAGGCTGGGTCTTGGACCTGACAGCTCTGGGGGCCCCTCAAGCCATCTCCCCAGCCCCTGCAGGTCCTCTCTCCCTCCTCCCCCCTTGATTGTATCCTTGTCCTTGTCTGTCTGCCTCTCTCTTTTGCCCTTCCTGCCTTGATGGATTGAAACCAGCCTTGAGTTCCGGCTTCTTGTGGTCCGGTAAATAGCTCTTAATGTGGTCGTGGTGGACAGGGAGAGGGAGGGACGAGTTTGTGTGTGTGGGGGGGGGGCACTTACCTCCATCTCCGCAACAGGGGGAGGGGAGCTGCTCCACAGGTCGTGCCCACACGCTGGATGCTGCAAAGCCCTCCGTGGCTGGGCAGCCCTCGTGTCCTTGATCCTGCCCTTGATTACAAAGAGGAGGGCACTCAGTTCTAGGCAGACTGGCCTGGAGCACATGGCCCTTGTGGCCAGCACAGGGCCGTCAGCAGCGACTGGCCCCTTCTTTGAGGACAGCAAGAAACACATTCATTTGCATTTAACAAACAGGATTTAATTAAACAATTTATACCTCTTCGATTTTCTTACTGCACCTTAGTGATTTAGCAGTCATTGTTTCTGATTTCGCTACAACAGTAGCCCGTGTGGGTCAATCACGGGGCGGAACAGGGTTAACGCTGGCATTTTCGTAATGGATGAAAATGAGGCATGCCCAGGAGGGGTACGGAAGGGCCAGGGCATCAGGTGGTGGGGATCATCAGGCAGTCTCCCCGCTGCCTCCCACCGGTTTAGACCTTGCCCCAGCCCTGTGACCCAGGGCCACCACAGTAACACTGTGGCCCCTTATCACTCGGGGCTGGCTGCTGGCTGAGGTCCCAAAGCCTCAGGGAAAACTGAGGGCAGAGCTGGTTCTGCAGCGCACAGGGACCGCAGCGCATCTAGCCCCCAGCGGGTGTGGGGTCCGTGGGTGCCTCCTGGCTTGCAATCTCTGTGCGGGCTCTTGATGATGTCACTGGGCTGCTGTGGTGTGTGTGTGTCGATCAGCATGTTCCTGTTCTGTGGTTGTCTAATCACTTGTTTTTGGCCGTGGGCTTCTGTACAAGGGTTTATTTTTAGAGACTGTCACTTCTGGCCCGAGGGCTGATCCTTGGGCAAGGCAAGAACGTTTGTATTTTCTGAAATGTTTGTGGCTTTAAATTTAAATATTTATTTTGGGGTATTCCTGCCTTTTATGTGTTTATTCTACTGTGTGTGTGTGTGTGTGTGTGTGTGTGTGTGTATGGGGGGGTGGATGTAGCCTAACACAAATTTCATGGTCTTTTAAGTAAATTAGCTCTGATTGTCAGGTGCAGCCCCCTCGCCCCAGGTGCTATGTCTACAGATCTGTCGTTTTGGATCAGCTACGTACCGCCTGCCCCCAGGGCTAGAGACCGTGGTGTGTGCAGTGCCGAGCACCAGGGTTAGCGCTTGGGGAGCACACGCTGTGGCAGCTGCTGTTCACCACGCTGTGCTGGCTGTGGTTCTTGGTGTGGGGGTCACCTCGCCGGCACAGGCCCCTGTGTTTTTGATTTGGTGACTTCTGGTGGGTGTGCGCCTCAGGGTCTTGAGTCGGGTTCAGTGTGTGGCTGCTGGGTGTGGGCTGGGGTGGGTGCAGTCTTGGGAGGGGGTGTTTTACCTGGGGCGGGGGCTGGATTGCAGCGGAAGGCGGGGCTCTGCGTGAGGGCGTGGGGTGTGTACCTCGGGTCTGGAGCAGGGGCTGCTGACTGTACAGGGTGTGAAATCACTGAGCTCCTCTGGGTGGGGGAGGTTCTTGCTCCTGAGTCAGCCCCCTGGCCCAGAGCCACCCACAGCTCACTTTTTCCTTTTAGAGAAAGTGTTGCTTCTGGGGGTCCCTAGAGCTGCCTGCAAACAAAAGGAGAACTCTCCCCAGCGAAGACATCTGCTTTGGGTTCTCCATCCATCCCTAAGGTGTCTCCCCTGCCACCCTGGTCCCTGAGCCCCTGCCCAAGCACCCCACGTGGCGCCCTCTGCGGAGGGAGTGCCGGTCCCCTCTGGCACAGGACTGCTGGCTACGTCAGCTGCCTCTTGGCTCAGCTCCTCAGGGGTCCTGGCTGGCCCTCTGGTGGGTGGGCCTGCTGCCACCCTGCCCTTGGCTGGTGCCCCTTTTCCTGCAGGCTGAATGGTGTGGGCGAGCTTGTCGTGGTGGGCAGGGTCCATGTGCAGGGGACAGTGCTGGGGAAGGAAATGGGAGAGACTTCAGAAAATGTGGCACTGGGGAGAATGAATGGCGTTGTACGTCTGAAAGGCTCTAGAAAATTCTTTGTATTGAGCCAAACTTGGCAGCGGAGGCCGGAGGGTGAGTTTGTCTTAGAAAGTCCCAGCGCTGCTTTCAGCCTCCCCTCCCCAGCCCCGCCCGCCGTGGGCATGCTCCCCGTGCTGCGCCCTTACTGCCCTCGCAGGCTCTTCCCCCACTTCCCGGGGCCAAGGCTGTCCTCAGAGGTGGGCTGACCCCTCCGGTGCACTCAAGGCGCAGCCCACCTCTCCTGGCGTCATCCCCTATCCCAGAGCAGGAATTCAAGGAACTCCCCAAGATGTGCTAGTGGCCGGGGATGGTTGTGCTGTGCACGTCACCGTTCAGGAATGGATGGTCCTCAGGATGGACACAGCTCTCTGGCCACGGACCCGACACGGCTCAGCTCGACTTGTGTCGGCTCGTTTCAACGTGTAGCCTGCTGTGTTCAATGAATAGTGGCAGTTCATAGGGTGCAGCCTGATTCTATTATTGTCCTATTGTACAGACGAGGACACTGAGGCCCAGAGAGTAACTCGAGCCTCTGTGTCCAGGAAGCTGGTGAAAAGCCAGAGACGGGCCTGGGTGGGCGTTTGCCCCCAGGACTCCTTGCCCAGTCCTAGGCTCTGCTGCCTGGCCCTGTGTGGTAGGGACCTTTGTCCCTTTCCTTTGTGCCTCCTCAGAGTGGCAAGAGGAGACTCCGGGATCCAGATGGGGCTCTAACTCTTTTCCTTGTGGGAACAGCTGCCTGCCGGTGACATCTGCCGTCTCCTTGCTCTGTCTTTGCAGAGGTGGTGGGGCACACCCAGGGGCCACTGGACGGGAGTCTGTACGCCAAGGTGAAGAAGAAGGACTCCCTGAACGGCAGCACCGGGGCCGTCAACGCCGCGCGTCCTGTCCTGTCGGCCACCCCCAACCACGTGGAGCACACGCTTTCCGTGAGCAGTGACTCGGGCAACTCCACAGCCTCCACCAAGACCGACAAGACCGATGAGCCTGTCCCCGGGGCCTCCGGTGCCCCCGCTGCCCTGAGTCCCGAGGAGAAGCGGGAGCTGGATCGCCTGCTCAGCGGCTTTGGCCTAGAGCGAGAGAAGCCGGGCGCCATGTACCGCGCACAGCACCTCAGGTCCCGCCTGGCCGCCGGCCCAGCTGTGTCTCCCTCGGGCCGTCACGTTGTCCCAGCCCAGGTCCATGTCAACGGCGGGGCCTTGGCCTCTGAGCGGGAGACAGACATCCTGGATGATGAGCTGCCCAACCAGGATGGGCACAGCGTGGGCAGCATGGGCACGCTGTCCTCTCTGGACGGGATCACCAACACCAGCGAGGGGGGCTACCCAGAAGCCCTGCCCCCACTAACCAACGGCCTGGACAAGGCCCACCCTGGGGAACCTCTGGTCAATGGCGGGGGCTACCCCTATGAGAACGCCAGCCGGGCAGTGCCCGCCCATGCTGGCCACGTGGCCCCCATGCGACCCTCCTACTCGGCGCAGGAGGGCTTAGCTGGCTACCAGCGGGAGGGGCCCCACCCGGTCTGGCCCCAGGCAGTGACCACCTCCCACTACGGCCATGACCCCAGCGGCATGTTCCGCTCTCAGTCCTTCCCCGATGCCGAGCCCCAGCTGCCCCCAGCTCCAGCCCGCGGGGGCAGCAGCCGGGAGGCCGTGCAGAGGGGGCTGAATTCATGGCAGCAGCAGCAGCAGCCGCAGCCTCGCCAACCTCCTCGCCAGCAGGAAAGAGCCCAGTTGGAGAGCCTTGCGACCGGCAGGCCCAGCCCCCAGCCGCTGGCAGAGCCCCCCGCCTCTGCTCTCCCAGAATTCCCCAGGGCGGCCTCTCACCAGGAGATTGAGCAGTCCATCGAAGCGCTCAACATGCTCATGCTGGACCTTGAGCCAGTCTCGGCCGCCGCCCCCCTGCACAAGTCCCAGAGTGTCCCCGGTGCCTGGCCAGGGGCTTCCCCACTCTCCTCCCAACCCCTCTCGGGCTCTTCCCGCCAGTCTCATCCACTGACCCAGTCCAGATCTGGCTCCATCCCCGGTGGGCACTCCCTGGGAACCCCCGAGCTGGCCCCTCCCGGCAGGTCTTACTCACCTTACGATTATCAGTCGGGTCCAGCTGCGTCCAACCAGGGTTTCCGTCCAAAGAGCCCAGCCTCCTCATCCTTCCTTCCAACCGCCCATGGCCCCCCAGGGCCTCAGCAGCCCCCAGCCTCTCTCCCTGGCCTCACCACGCAGCCTCAGCTCCCACCAAAGGAAGTGGCCTCAGAGCCCTCCCGAACCCCAGAGGAGGAGCCACTGAACCTGGAAGGGCTGGTGGCCCACCGAATAGCAGGTAAGAGCCTCAGGGGCCGTCAGACGTGGACATTCCCTCCTTCCTCCCTCTGCCCTTCCCTCGGGTCTCCGTTGCCCTTGCTGGGGGAGGTGCAGTGCTGCGGCCTGGGGAGGCTCTCAGGAGCTGGGGCCCAGCCACCCTTCCTGTATCTACACCTCAAAGAGTCTGCAGTCTTGTCAGGGGACAGGCATAGACAGGTAATTCCGAAAGAGTACAGTGTGTGCTAGGACAGAAGTGAGACCGAGCCCCAGAGCTCGGGGAAGCATAACATCCCACCTAGGGCAACCAGGGAGAGCTTCCTGGAGGTGGTGACTCAGGAGTCCAGACTTTCTAGGTGGAGAGGAGACTATGAGCCTGCCTGCCGTGCTTCTTGTCCTCAGACTTCAGGTCCTTGGGGTAGGAGAAGGCGGAGGGAGGTCTCTGTGGACTCAGTTTCCCTCTTAGACCCTCCCGAGGCCATGATGAAGCCCTCGGGCTCTATCTGAGTGTTCAGCCTGGTGAGGGCCTTCAGGTTTGTTTTTGTGAGGGGCCGAGGTCCCCTTCCCGGTTAGCTTCCCATTAGTCCTTGCCTAGGACCAGCTCCTCTTCCTATCAGAGCAAATCCAGAAAGACACCTACAGAGGGAAGAGAGAGTGCGAAGCCAGGAGAACCTACTGGGGAGAAAAAGGCAAGAAAGAGCCAGTGTCTAGGCCTCACCGGGAGGGACACAGCCCACCTGCCGCAGCTTATGACCGTTCCCAGGGACAGCCAGGCTGGGGGGAATCCTCACAGTTGACTTTGTTGTGAGGCGAAAGCCGGACAGGGGTGGCCCCGAGACTGGGGTGGGGTGGGCCTCGTGCCCAGCCCTCAGCTGACAGGGGGTGAAGCTCGAGGGGAAGGCAGGCTGGGCAGCTGGCTCTGCCCTCCACTACATGTAGGGGAAGCTGAGTCACTGTGCCAGCTGCAGGGAGGAAGGGAGGCACCCTCCTGGGCATCATGGGGAAGCAGCTCACAGAGGCCAGCTGGCTCTTGGGTTGGGCCAGGCCCTGGGTGCCCTGGGTGCTGCTGTACTTCAGGGCAGAGCAGAAACCCTGGAGAGCTGGGGCAGGAGGCCTTCGTTGCTTTAACCAAGCACCAAACCCAGGATTGAGCATCCCTGACCCTCCGCGGGTGAGATGCTCCATGGGTGATCCATTTGGGGCTTGACTTCTGCTTCCTCCCACATCTGGGCCGTGACTTAAGGGCACCTTCCTGATTGCTTTGTCTGTCGAAACCAACCCATTTCCTCCAAGTTTTGTTGAGGCAAGAGGGACAACAGGGCCACCCAAATTTCCTGGGGATGCCATTCCCCTCCCAGTGTTGAAGTGGCCTGAAGAATAGTGATGCTCTGGTCTAATGATGAATAGGATCCAGGGGACTTCTCTGGGGAGGACACAGAATGAATTTCTTTATCTCCCAGAACCCTCCCTTAGAGCTCTCCTGGAGCTTGGTCCAGAGGAAGCCATACTGCTCAAGCCCTGGCGGGAGGTCCACCTGATAGTGGGTCCCCCCTCAACCAGCCTCTGTGGTCTTGGCTGCCAACTTCCATATCCTGTAGCCTCTCAGGTTTTGGCTTTCATGAAGCCATGGGGTTGGCGGAGGGCATTGTTGGCAGAGGGTCCCTTTACCTAATAGGCCCATTACCATCTTGTCTACCAACCACAAATGACTCAGGAGAAGGGGTGAGATGGATAGAGAGGGTAGTTGTATCTGGTACCCAGGGCTCTGAATTCGCCTCTTTGGTCTGTACCTTGTCGTGAACAGAATTTCTTATGTCAGCAGGCTCTGCGTGCAGAATTTCCTTAGTAGCCCTTCATGGTACCGAAGGGCACTCAAGTAAGATCAATGTGTAGGACTTTCTGGGAGGCAGGGAGGATAGACTTTCAGCATCAGTTCTTCCTGCTCGTTCAACATTCTGCTGCGGGAAGTTGGAACTTAAGTGGTCACATGAGTAACTAGGAAGCTCAGATCTGAGGGAGAACTTCTTCATGGCCATGAACTTGATCTGGTTTCTCTTGGTTTTTATCCCCTAGGTCTTCCTCCCCACCTTAGCTGTCTTTTATAACTTGGCACTCTGTTTGGTTCATTCCACTTTGATCCAACTACTGTTCATGTCTGATTTCCGATTAAATCTTAGAGAATGTAGGGACAATTTTCCTAACTTGAAAATGAGAAGGCAGTAGAAATCTATAGCACGTGCCACATTTCCTTGTGAAATGTTGGAAGCATTCCTGTTATAGCCATGGGACACAGTAAGGATGTCTATTATCACTACTATCATTTAACATTGCATTGGATTCCCCGTCAGTGCAATAAGACAAGAAAAAGAAATAAGAGAGTTGAGGAGTACAGTGGAGGTATCTTATGTTCCTGATTCTGTGATTGGACTGATATTGGATGCCTGAGAGGTAGAGATTTCAGTGCATGCTGGAAATCAGATATGGATCTTATCTTTAAGGAGTCTCAAGTTTAGTGCTGGGGTGGTGGGGAGAACTAGAACTTTAAGATGAGGTCATTCATAATAAAAGAGGTATGGAGAAAGCTCTGTGGGAGAGAAGAGGTCACTAGCAGCTGGAAAGGCCGGGGCAGCTATGTGGGGGATGGTGTTAAACAACCTTGCAAGATGGATAGGATTTGAAAGTGATTGAGGACTCAGTGGACACAGAGATAGGAAGGTCGTGGCAAGGATAGGAAGGCACAGGAAATGTTTGAAGAAAGTGAGTATGTGGAGAGCCTCGTAGACTGTTAGAGGGAGACTCAGGAAAGGCAGCCAGAGGTCTGTCTCTGGATGGTCTTAAATACCAGCCTAAGGAGCTTGAAGTTTACCACTTACTGGCAACTGGAAGCTTGTGGGGGGGAGAGACAGGCTTGTGGAAAGCCGGTGATGGCAGTTGAGGCTCTGAGGGGTTTTTCCTGAGGAGCTGTTTTGTTTGGTGTGTGGTTCTAAATATAAAGTTAGTTTCTTTTGACAAGTGGCTCCTGATTGTGCCCAGCCAGACTGCGGCAACTTACCAACAGCGGAAATCATTCCTGTGGTTAGGCAGGGGAATGTGCCACACAGCTGGAGTTCAGGAAGGTGCATCTGGTGAGACTGGGCAGGAAGAATGCAAATGGGAGAGATTTTGACCTGGGAGAGGCTGGGAGCTTATTAGGTCACCTTGGTAATGGGGACCAGATTAGGATGCCGACCATGGGCATCCAAAAGAAGAGATGGTGTCACGGCCACAGTGGGAGTAGGGCCAGTCAATCACAGATTGATTGACAGTCGGGGGGATCGAGGATGGCTGAAAAGCACCGTGGTTGCCTCCTCACCCTGTAGCTGGCTAGCGTGGTTAACGAAGCTGCAGGGTCTGAGGGGTCAGCGGAGCCTCCACACATGGCTGATGGAGTTGGATCCTGACCGAGTGGGAAGACTGCAGACTTTGGGATTTTCCTCACAAGGGTGGAGGTTAGAGCTCTGGGCATGAATGAGATCTCTATGTCACGATCATGGAGGGAAAAGAACTTAGGTTAGAGTGGCCATGAGAAGAAAGGGAGGCTAGGAAGGGGGTCTGAGAACGATGCTCAGGGTGGTGACAGGAGCCAGGACAATGTGTCATCGCAAGGCCAGGAGAGTAAAGGGTTTCAAGGAGGGGGGGGGTGAGCAGTGTCCACTGGAGATACCAGGAGGAGGAGGAGGAGCAAGAGACTAAGCCTCTGGATTTGCCAATTAGGGGGCCTGGTGATTTTCAAAGGCATAGTTTTAGTGGAGTGCTGGTGACAGAAGCCAGACAGGAGTGAGTGGGGATGGAGTGAAGACAGCGTGCCAACTACTCTTTGGAGTGGTTTCATGATAAAAGGGGAGAGAAGGGCAGCCAAAGAGGTCAGCAAGACATCAGAGCTTTCTGGAGAGCTTGGGGTCGTGGGAATGCTCTCAGGTGAAGGACGGATCAGGGGAGGCTGAGGACGGGAGGAAGGAGAGGAACAGAGAGGAGAAGAACGAAGAGATTGACAGAATCACGTCTCTGAGGCGGTGCGAGAGGACCGGCCTGGGAGTCCAGTCTGGGCCAGGAGCTGCGATACTTCTTCATGAAATCATAAAGAATGGATAAAGATATATGGAAATACTCGGTGTCGAACTTGGAGAGCTTGGATTAAGAAGCACCCCCCCCTTTTTTTTCCCTTTTCTGTATGAATCCAGGGCTGAGTTCAAGGCCCATTCCATCCCTCATTCAGCAGGAGCTTGAACCCGTGCTACTCGCTAGTCTAGGCTCTGAGAAAATGGTAGCAAACAACAGGTTAAGCCTTGGTCCTTCCAGCAGAGTCGGACACTGAGTAAATGAACAAGTAGATACATAATTTTTCTGATGACTGACAAGTGCCATAGAGATCAAATAGTGAAGTGACAGTGATGGGGAGAGGGCAGGGGGTGGTTGCACTTTATATGCATGGTCAGGGGACGCTCCATGGGGCAACAAGGGAATGTGCCTCATGGGGCAGCAAGTTCAAAGGCCCTGAGGCAGAGTGTGCCCGGTGTGGCTAGAGCAGAGTGACCAACAGGAGGTCAGAGAGGTACTGGAGTGGTCCTGGCATATGGTTGGTCTTGCAGGGGATCCTAAGAACTTTTGGTTTTGCTCTGCGTGGTGTGAGAAGCCTTAAAAAGGCTTTGGTCCAAAGAGTGATGTCATCTGACGTCCTAAAAGGATCAGTATAGCCAGGATGGAAGGAGGGAGGCCCGTTAGGAGGCTGCTGCTCTCGATCAGGATGGGAACTGTGGAGGTGTGAGGCTGGGCTTGGATCATAGATGTGTTTTGGAGGCACAGCCAGCGAGAGGTACAGATAGACTAGATGTGGGATGTGAGAGAAAAAGCAAAGTCAAGGACGACTCTAACCTTGGAGCTGCTTGGTATTGAGAAGGGTAAGATTTGAGAAGAGCTGGCCAGAGGGAACCGGAGTGTGATCTGGGGCACCTTGGGTGTGAGATGCTCATGAAGCATCTGAGA